AGAGAGAGCACTTTCGTCGGACTTTTCAGCCCCTGCCCCCGGCCCTGCGCGCCCTTTCCATTTGCCCCTGCTTTGCCACTGTTTCGATTTCGACCAAAACCCTTTTCAACCAAAACCCAAAGCGCGGTCCCACCGGCAGCTACCGGTCCCTCAATTTTCAAACAAACTGCCACCACCCCCGAAAGTGCCATACCTGCACCTTCCTGCATTTCTCGAGCCTTCCAACGACCAACCGACCCATAATGAACGACCGGTATAACCAAGGACGACGAAAAAATGTCTCCATGTCTCAAAGGGGGGAAAACGCACCCCTGACGGGCTGCCAACACAGACGCCGAAGCCCCCACTATACCCCAGCCTTAGGGCTGCTAACAAAAAAAAAAAGGAAAAAAACGAACGGGGCTGGGCGACGCGTTTTCCTTGGAGTCGCTTGGGCACTCGACGCACAAGAACAAAGCCGCGTCGCTCAACCTGTCGCTCATTGACACAACGAACTGCATCACAGGCAAGCGAGTCCATGGTCATTCTCGCAGCATCTAGACTGAAAGTTGGGCAGAATTCGGGTGCAGCGACCGTGCAATCTGCTTGGGTGAGGACTGTAGGTGGACCCGCATAAGCGGTTTCGATTCAAATGTCCCCGCCAGGCTGGTAGTCTAGACGGGCCTGGCGTTTCCCTCCGTCGATTTCGCTAATGTGCGGTCCGAAACGAAGAGTCCACGAGACCTCACGCGAGTCCATGGTCAATCAATCTCGCTGCATCTAGACTGATAGCTGCCGAGAAAATTCGGCTCTGACGACCGCGTGTTCTATTCGGGTGAACATTCAGGCAGTTCCGCATGAGCGGTTCCGATTCGATTGTCCTCGCACGCAGGGCCAATCGAATCGAAACCGCTCATGACGGTGTGCATACTGTTTTCACCCGAATAGAACACACTGTGACGGTTATTGTCGCCGCATCCAAACTGAAAGTTGCCCAGAATTCGGTTGTGAGCTTAGCCCGGGGCAAGGTCCCATTTACACGAATTAAGCGATATTGACCGTAGATAGCAAAGATCAACGGTCAGAATATCTTAATCCGTGCAAGTGGGACCTTGCCCCCGGAGGAGTGCGGTGTGAGTGATGTGTTGAAGAACTACCCAGGGGAAGTCGACGAGTTCGGGGCCGGAGAAGTGGCCAGGTAGGCTGCGCAACGGTCAATTATTCATTTTTGCCGCCTGAATTTGGAGGAGATGCCCTTAAATATGACACTCTTCTCACAGTTAGCGTAAGAGGGGTGGTTTCAGTTCGAACGCAGCGTGCAGATGTATCGCCAGGGTCACGCTATTAGCAGTGTAGAGTCCTGCTGTTTGTCGACGCAGTGCAGTCTCTGTGGTGTGCTAGTTTCATCAACCTGTTGGTAATCATGTCTGATTTGACTGACGAGCAGATCTCTGAGTTCAAGGAGGCTTTCAGTCTTTTCGACAAGGATGGCGATGGTACGGCAACTAAGCACCTTGTGCGGACGACCGGTGGAGGCCCACTTGCGGATTGTATTTCAGGAAAAAATGGATGTTCGCTTACTCTGATGCTGGGTTTGTTGGACTTGTCTTGTCAATTTAATAACTACGAGGGATCATGAGGTCATGGCTGTGGCTGTGCTGTGCTCTCTCTTCTTCGCCGGCATCTCTCAGTCGTTTTCATCTCCCGCGTTAGTGTGCTGTGTATGCTCGCAAGCGTTGTGTGTTCATGTGCGTCGATCTGACTCGCAAAGACGTACTTCCGGACTGAACTCTTACAAGGAAGAAAGAGCGTTGTCGTATTCTGGTGCCTGTTTCGTTCGTCTTTTCCATACTGTATGCGGCCGTCCTCTCCATTGTTTATTTAGAAAATATTATGGCTGTGGCAGTGCTCTCTCTTCTTCGCGTTCGCCTTCCAGTTGTCTCTACGTCAGTGGGGTTGGTGTGCTTGTAAGCGTGTCGTGGTAATCTGGGTCGATCTCTGGATCGCTCTGATGAATTACTGTACTTGACGTTTATTATCTTACCTTTGTCAGATCCACTAGAGTATTGATCCTTTCTGCTCCGAGATTGACCGCGGAGCTTGATCGCTTGCCTCATTCAGTCGATGAGGGCGGCGATAACTTCGTAAAGCGTGCTGGTTCTTGGTATTCGTCTCAGTGCTTGCGATGACATGGCGTCTTTTTGGGGACCTATTCGCTTGTCTCATTCAGTCGATGAGGGCGGCTTCCGAGGACAGGGCGTGATGTTGGGGACCTATTCAAGTTATGACGGACTCTGCGCATGCTTTTGGCGGTTTCCGGTTTGCGTGGAAGGAGGGTGTCATCCGTGAATGGTTGATAGGCGATTTGCGTGGTGCATTCGAGTCCCGAGCCCTCGTCTTCGAGTGCTTCCATGCTAGCTCGTCCACCTCTTTCGGCGGAATGGTAGCTTTCAGGATCTGTTGTTGCTAGGTTCTCGCTGGCAGTGAAAATAAAGCGCCCGGTTATATGGCTGCGTTGGGATTGTTTTCGTTCTGTATACCGTGACAATGATCGTGCGAGTGGGAAGTTTTGACGATCCTTATGTTGTGCGGGCCGATAATGTCGAGTGTTATCTGAACTTTCAGGTTGAAATTGGCTAGAATAAAGTCATTTGCTTGTTTGTATAATGTCGATAAGTCATCCTCGGTTCTTCTGGGCGTGCGCGTGTTTGTATAACGCAGCGTATGTATCTTTTCGAGTTGCGTCCCTCTATTATTGCGCTACTACGATCTCTCCATGTAGCTGCTAATCGTTTCTTGTGCGTGCTCTACTCAATCTTGGCTTAATGGGTCAAGTTCTGTTGTGTAGCCACTAACTCCAGAGACGTGCCCTGCATATCGTGTTCTGCTGCTCACCTTACCTGTTGTAAGGTATCGTTTCGTTCTTCAGCAGTACTGTTACACCCTGCGCGAATGTGAGTCTTTGAGGAAAATGTCAGCGGTCGGGCTTGTGGTCATTGTTTTCTTCAGTTGTTTATGTTAGGGCTGTTGTGAGGTTCTAGCAGGGGTACGAGCGAGCGGCTCGGGTTTTTGTTTGGTCGTAAGCACTAGCTCTCTGTGGCTGTAGTCGATGTGCATATGGATATCGTGACATCCTTTGACGGTGTCGTCCTTTCTTTTCTTGGGGGGCCATCTGATGAGAGAGACATGTGACGTTCTTGCGGAGTGGTTTGAGCCAAGGTCCGCTTTGGTGGGTTGGTTGGTCAGTTGGTCGTGAGGCATCGGCAGTTCGGTGGCAGTAGCTCATCTGCGTTGCATATTGATACTACATGTTTGAATCTAACTTTTTTATTGTTGAAGGGGCATCTCACGGGATGGATCTGACGGCCGTTGCGGGTTTGTTATATGGGTGACAGGGAGCATCACCACGAAGGAGCTCGGTACTGTGATGAGGTCCCTCGGTCAGAATCCTACGGAGGCTGAGCTGCAGGATATGATCAACGAGGTTGACGTTGATGGGAACGGAACCATTGATTTCCATGAGTTTTTAAACCTAATGGCGAGAAAGATGAAGGTAACTGACTCCAGTTATGGTTTTGTCGAACTATGCAGCTCTTTCAAGCTTTTTGTCGAACTATGCAGCTCTTTCAAGCTTTGATGCCTATGTCGAAGTCGTTGCCTTTCAATGTTTTCTCGTTCTTCCGCACTCTTTCCTTGCTCTTTCACTCCCTCTTCTTTCTCTCTCGGGTTCGTGCGCGTACTCTTGCAGTGCGAACGTGATATTGATTCCGCTTGTGTACTCATGGTGATGAGAGTGCGTGCTTTATTGAGCGCGCAGAGTTCTTCGTTCTGCGTGCCCTTGGTTTGCATGTGTGGCCATGCTATGAGGCCGTTCTGAGCGCATTCTTTTGTGTGTGAAAACTCCTTCCCTAGTCATGGCAGAGCGTTCTAACTGTGTATGTACATGTCAATCCGTGCAGTTGGGAGTGTGTTCTTTTTTTGCGTACGATGGGGCCCACTGAAAGCTGTTAAACTTCCGAATTTTAACTCGTGAGTGTAAATTATATATTTGTGCATCTGCAGGATACGGACTCCGAGGAGGAACTTAAAGAAGCCTTCAAGGTTTTTGACAAAGACCAGAATGGATACATTTCCGCTGCGGAGGTAAGCTACAGGAGTGACGCTCGAAGATCGTGGCTGCGCACCAACTGCTGACGTTTGTAATAACCGTAAATTTTTCGGTGGAATGGGTTTACGTCGCGATCGCGGTTGTAATTTATCGCGGGTGTAAAGTAGTTTTTGTTTTTATTTTCCTTTTTAGGCTGTTCTGTGTCGCACCTATGTATTGCTCTGTGTAAGCTTTCGTAATTGGATTTTGCTGTGGTGCTGGATCTTTTCTGGAGACGTGGAATTGACCTGCGTTTGAAAATGATTAGAGCTTTGTTACTACAGCTTGCAGATAGTGGGTCTTTTCAATTACGGGATTTGTCTGGGAAATGTCCTTTAGGTTTTATGCGGAGCATTTCTCGCGGGTAGCACGATCGTTCGGAGAAGTGAGTTCTGATGACGATGTTGTGTTTTGTCTAGTTTTCATGTTTGGGGTTGTAGGATCTTGGAGATAATAGGACTCTGGTAAGCCAGGATTCCGTGCGGTGTGATTTGTGTAGACGATGGGATGGTTTGTAATGACTACTGGGGACGATGACATGGTTTGTAATGACAGTTTGTGGAGGTAATTTATGAACCCACGTCTGAATCATCCTTGCGCTTTCTGTCTTTTGAATTACCACATGGAGCGGGCATTTTCGTTTGAGAAATAATTGTTATTGTACGTTTCGTTGTTCTGTTGATGTGCGTAGCTTCGTCATGTGATGACGAACCTTGGCGAGAAGCTGACTGACGACGAGGTAGATGAAATGATCCGGGAGGCTGATGTTGATGGCGATGGGCAAGTCAATTACGAGGAGTTCGTGAAGATGATGATGGCGAAGTGAGTTGTTTACGTTTTGAAGTTAGATGTTGGAATACAGATTTCATCGACCCTCGAGCAAGAAATGCAAGAGAGTAGCTGCCGATGTTCGTTTTCCACTCGGATCATCGTCACCTTCATACCAATCCCTGTTGATGGTTCCACCAACTGGTGGCTCAATAATGAAGCGTCTTCTTCCTCGTCTGCACACTCTGTCTGTGGTGCGGTTAATGCGGTACTCTCCTAACACATTTCTGCCTGTCGTTCGGTCAATGCGGCACTTTACTATTTTCCAAGAATAAACGGCTTATTTGAGTGAAATAGCAATGTCGTTCCACTCAACCGAATTGTTGGCGGGGGCACGCAGGGGGTGCTGGAGAGGTACGACCTTACCGATGTCATGCCGATGGTGGTGGGTGTTCTCTCATCACGTTCGTCGTCGAGCAGATGATTGGTTGTCACCTATTCTTTTGTGTTCGGAGAGATGATTGGTCTCTCATTCATTTGTTGTTGGGGACTTGATTTGCATTCTCCCTCCGCTGTCCATCGTCGGGAAGGTGATTGCAGAAGAGCGGTATGTTTGGCGATGTGGAGGACTTGGCGAGTTAAGATTGTTCTTCTCGGAAGCGGCTATCCTGAGAAGAGTGAATACTCTGTGAAGTTCTTATTGCTATGTGTGCGTTGCAGCATGATTGGGAGAGGTCGGTGTGTGCATAAATGAACGTTTCTATATTGGAAACGGCTCTGAAATCGATTGGTAGGATTGGTAATGGTGGTGGTTGCCACCTCGTAGAGATACAGTGAGTGATGGATTGAAGCAGAGGGACGGTAATTCTGCAGTGAAATTTGGGCTCTTGTTTCTTTTTTGCCCTGGGCGGGTGTGGAGGGAGAACCCTCCGCAGCAATTGAGGGCGATCATCATGGGAGTGGTTTCTTATACCTTGGAATATTAACCGTTGTGTTCGGTCACACAAGTATTATGGCTTTCTTGCTTCCGTTTCTCGCTTGAATATATGTCGTCGTGAACGTTCGATGGTCGTAGAGTATGTTTTCTACTTGTCTTCCACATGTGGGCTCCGTATTTTTCCCTCCTGCCTGCGCTTTGTAAAGTTCACAGTAACTAAAGAAATTGAGCGAAAGCTCACATTGTAACATGCTGGGTTGTGAATGTTACACGTTGTGAACGTGTAACTGGAATGTAAATGGAAAATGTGTATACAATAACCCTGTGGTCTTTTTTACCATGGGAGAGAGGATGTAATGACGGAGCGTTAAATGAATTCGTAGACGTTGTTAGGGATATTCATTGTTCACATGGGCAGCAAGGTGACCCTGAAATTCGTGGCGAAGGGCAAGTCCCTGGGCCTACAGATTGGTTCGGCATGTATCCCAGTCCCTGGACGGTCGTATCCAATGCGAAAACGGTGAAGACCAAAACCATGGTGTTGCGCAGTTGGATTAGGATTGTAAGTTGGAACGTATGGGTGATATTTCAGGAAGATTTAAAAAAGAAAGATTAGTGGCATGGCTACATCCAAAGGAGGTTCACAGTGTGCCGTCAAGAAATCAAACTCAACTTGGACGAAATACAAGAGGTGGCCCATTGGTGGAGGGGTCTCCAAGTACGGTTTCTGGCTGATGGCACCAAAGGTGGGGGGAACTATTGTGATAAACAAAGATGTACAGGTGGGCGTAATTGATTCATTTTCAGACCAAATGGGAAGATGTGCCTGGGTAAAAGTGGCGGTGGAGGAAGAGAACTGGGCAGCAATGTTGATCTACGCGCCGGTAGAATACAAAGAAAGAACGAGGTTCTTAGCCCATCTTTCAGCTTGGATATTAGATGTGGAAACCCTGGTCATAACTGGAGATTGGAACACCTTATTCAATCCGGGACTAGACTCACTTAAAACCTCCCTGTGATACGATAACTTAAAGCTAGCAGCTTTGGCTGATTCATTTACCTGGTAGATGTTTTAGGACTTCAAATCCTGGAGACAATGACTTTACCTGGTATGGCCCTCCTACCCTTACTTCCACCCAACCCCAAAAGAGGCCGGATTTCTTTTTGGCCAGAGGGGTGGTATGGGACACGGGTATGGAATGTGATCTGGTGGCGGATATCCTCTCGGATCACTATCCAGTATATATGGATATTGTGGCCAGGGAACAATTTGAAAAAGTCCGCCCACCATTCCGATTGAACGTCAATGGATTTAGACTCAAATGGCAGCCTGGATGGAGATCAAGGATTTGTTCCCTCAGGAAAATAGGTGGGCAGAAGTAGGCCCGGGAATTGTATAAAAGCCCAGAAGGCGGTGGAAGAGACCGAACAAAAAGTGGGTCTTGTTTTTCAATTTCTTCAGGTCAAAACAGAGGAGCTACCAGTAATTCCTTGAGGCATGCCCGTTAACGCGCCTCAGGAAACGTATGGCACACTACAGGAGCGGTCAAATTATCGACTAGAAATGTTTGTACTCTTTTTTTTTCTGCTGGGCCAAGTATTGGTGGTTTAAGACGAGGGGCGTGAGTGGATATGACCGTATGACGAAGTTCACATTCAGGTCCTTGATGCTCCAGCAGCCAGCAATACAGAGGCAATGTGTAATTATGCCCAATGCCACTACAAGGACATAGTCTCAACGAACAGGCCAAATGACACCTGTGAAACAGATTTTGCATTGATGTTCGTTTTTTGCGACAAGTTGAGGGTTACGTTATCCCAGTCGGGTAACCTCGCCCTCGTAGCTGCAAGGCAGATGGCCAAATTAAAGTGTCCTGGGCTAGTTGGACTGTTAGTGGAATTATTTGTAGCACTGTGGGACTCCTTTGGCCCCTCTTTTTGGTTAGTTGTCCTGGGCTAAAGTTTTAGTAAGGTATTGGTTACCGGTCACCTTCCAAAAAATTGGTTAGTTGGAGTGGTTTCCTTGCTATACAAGTAGGGTAATAAAGGTGAAGATAAAAACTTATTTCGGTCTTGAAGTTACCCTAAAAGATACTAGCGAAGGCTTTAACACTAAGACTATCTAGCTTTCTACCAGGTCTAATTTGCTGGGAATGGGGTAGCCTTGGAGGTTTAACACCTAGACTATCTAGCTTTTTACCAGGTCTTTTTTTTAATATTTTTTATGTATGTTTTTAACACAAGTAAACAACCCAAGATGATGCTAGGGGTGCTGATAAGAGTAGACACCACTAGCAGTCTCGGGAGGGCCCATCTATTGGTGGGAAGCAACACCTGCTGGAAAGCGAGTCCAGCATCCCAGAACCATTCAAGCCTTAGAGGTCCTTGGGTGTGAGAAAAGGAATGGTTCTATACTATTGCTGGACGTTGAAGAAGCCTATGACAAAGTAGGTGGGGCTTGCGTTTATCTGTGTCCAAGATGGGGTTTGGGCAAGGGTTTTGTAAATGGGTCAAAGCAATGTATGTAGAATGCCACCTAAAGTATTGGTAAATGGGTGCCTATCGGACTCCTTCCCATCATCTAGGTCCCTAAGACAGGATTGCCCCGTCCCTGCTGCTCTTTGTTGTTCAGTTGGAAGTGTTGGTAATGAACATTAGGTGTAACGACCGAATAGTGGGCATCCAGCTCCCCCCTAATATCCAGTGTAAAGGGGGAGCTATTGTGGATGACCTTACAGTAGCTTGTGCAAACGAACCATCCTCCCTTAATGAGCTAAGGTTCTCAGAGGCTTCTATAAATTGGGAAAAATCGGTGTATCTTTTGCTCCCTATTTGTTCACTGTGTGGATTGTTCACATTAAGAAGGTTAAACTAGCAATACCTTTCCACTGGGTTTCAGCATCGAGGAAAGACAATTCAGGCCCCTCTGTACAATCGGTAAATGACAGTCAGGTGGTCTGGAATGTAATGGTCTCGGAATTAAATGCAGGGATCAAAGTTCAGACATGGGCGAGGGGTAACCGAAAGGGGAAGCGGTAGTAAAGACATCAGTGGATGCCCAAGAGATCAGAGTTTGGGAAACGGACAAGAAAAATAAGAAAGGGGCCAGACTCTTGCAGGTCGAAGTAATATTAGAGCGAGTGGTACCCATGATTACTGGATGGTCCCCTCCGGAAGGCCAGGGATGCCAGGTCGCCCTTCACCAGTGCATTACGAAGGTAGGGATCTCAGTACTGAGAGCTAAAATAAATATAAAACCAAGAAACACTGCAATGAAAGTGTTGCAGGACGCTGGCCAGACATCTATTAAATAGGCGGATCTTTTCAAACTCTGGAAGGCATTGAAAAAGATTCCTTTGCAGAAACAGGCCGCGTTGATGTGGTTAGTCCCTTTAGGTGACTGACAACCACCTGGTGTATCTCCAAAGGGATGGAAGTTTCCTACATATGTACACGATGCAGTTGGGACTGGGAAAACAGCACCTGGTGTAGCTTCCGCGACCAAGACCCCTGAGGAGTGATTGTGACAACCACCTGGTGCATCGCCAAAGGGACGTAAATCTACGGATCCTGTCATACTGTGTGCAATCACCAAGGTTGACGCCCCTTCAGGTAACTTCGAAGGATGCTGAGTGTTAGTCAGTAGATTTACGTAATGAGGGATTGATGGAAGGATTGAAAGGAATAATACGAGGCTTTTGTCCATAAGTGTTTGAACCCAGCGATGCTAGCTTGAGCTTCGAGATTGATTTTGAGAAGGGACGCTGGACCTGGTTTTGTAGGACGTCATTTTGAGCTTCAAGAGTATTTTTTGGAATAATTCAGTTGATGTTGAGAAGGGACGCTGGACCTGGTTTCCCAGCGCAAGCATATGCTGGGTAATGGACCCAGATTATTCTGGGTTGTTTGTGAGATATTCCCAGCCTCTATTCAATATCATGCAATGAAATGACATTTCAAAATAAAAAAAGGAAAAAAAAAAGACCTGCACTACATGTCGTGTCCAGTGCTGCAATCCAGTGTAGTGCATTCTTCAGCTACTGCGACCCACTTCTGCCTTGGATGTCGGTGGAGTACGTTGGCGAAGGTCAGTGCTCCTCGCCTTGTTCCCTGCCTTTCTCTCTCTCTCTCTCTCTCACACACACACACACACACACACACACACGCACAGACAAAAGAGTATGGCAGTGTATGTTTCCATGGTCCAGTGGTAGATTCATTCGATTTTACTCATCCTATCCATGAAATTGCCATTAGGCCAGCTGCGAGATTTGAGACTCACCTGGAGCGAGATCCCGCTACTGATGTATGTGGAGTTCACCTACAGCAAATGGTTTAAGGAGATACTCTTGCCCTCGTTTGCCCAAGAGGATTTCTGTCAGAACAACCGAATGGTGTGCACTGCGGCCTATTTCAAGGAAGCCTCAGACTATTGTCAGTGAATATGGTCCGTGTGCCCACTCACATGCAGTCGTCTTGAGTGCCACGGCCATGGTCAGTGAATCATACCCTGACATCTGACAACCCCGCCTGGAGCAGACACCATCTGTTAGAAGAGCACTTTCTTTTCCTTTTTAGCAGTTCTTTCTTCATTTTTTGGTCATGAAATGGTTTTTGGCGTTTATTTTCCCTATTTCAGGCTGCCACCCACCTGTCCCCCACCTGTCCCAAATCGTCACAGTAATCCACATAGATGGCTAGTGGGATATCGCTCCTGCTCTCTCTCTCCTCACACACACACAAAAAAAAAGGAAAAAAGAAAAAAAGAAAAAGAAGAAGAGTGTGGCAGTGTATGTTTCCATGCTCATCCTATCGATGGAATTACCATGAGGCCGGCCACAAGATCGGAGACTTGTTCTCTCTCTCTCTCTCTCCCTCTCTCTCTCTCTCTCACACACACACACACACACACACACACACACACACACACACACACACAGAATTGTGGCAGTGTATATTTCCATGTTCTAGCGGTAGATTCATTCGATTGTGCTCATTCTATGGAAAGCCGTGAGGTTGGAGACTTCCCTCTTCTCTCTCTCTCACACACAAAAAAAAAAAAAAAAGAAAAGAGTGGCAGTGTGTATTTCCATGTTCTAGCAGTAGATTCATTCGATTTTGCTGATCCTACCGATGGAAGGACCATGAGGCCAGCCGCGAGGTTGGAGACTTACCTGCTCTCTATCTCTCTCGCTCTCTCTCACACACACACACATTCAACCTCCTGATGAGTCGGTGAAAGTCCGATGAAACAGTCTGGCACAGTCATGCTTTTTTTTGAGTGTATAGCGAATATGACAACACACACAAAAAAAACCAAAAAACAACAGAAGTGCTCTGGTAGAACCCCTCCCAGGGCCAGGGGAACAGCCTTTACTGCCAGCAATGGCCAGAAGGGCATACAGAAATGATGAACACTACTGGTAGGGGCATATGGAAAAGTCTTGTGTCTGTACTGAATGGCTATCTGGTAGGTGCGAACTGGAAATTTGGCACCGGTGTGAGGAAAACCAAGGAGGGTTCACCTGTCTGTCGCTGAAGCCAGGGACTGTGGCGTCTGTCTTCTGCCTTGTCCGCCTCGGAGGGCCTCAGCACCTGACAGGGAGCGGGGTTTTGACTTCCTGTCGCGCGTCCCACTAAGTGATTAATTCCACAAATGTGAGGGAAATTAGCATATAAATATATAAATATTTTGAATGACAAAAATGGAGTACTCAGTAAACTGGCATCAGCCAATCGTCAATTGACTCAGCAAGTCAGAAACATCCCAGTGGTAAGGGTTGCCAAGAGCAGTAGTCACAACCTTTGCTTAGAGCTATAGACCCGTATATCTCGTTTTCCTGATAAGCCAATGCAACCTGTTATTTAGCTTAATTGGCTAATCATACAAGTGCAGAGGGCATGAGTGATCAACAGACGTAGCCTCAGCCTTCACTCAGGGCTGTGCTAGCTGGCAGTTCTCGTTGCTGCGGCTAAACGAACAGAACATGGCTGTCTACAGATCTCAAGAGCTACATAAGAGGGTTTTGACAGGGGCGTGTTAAACATTTATTTGTCGGATTTATTTCTTTCGATTTATGCTATTATTGTTATTATTATTTTTTAATGTTCATTCTTAGAAAATCGTTTGGGGGGGTGGGGGGGGTATACACCAGTGCACTCTTAGCTTCCTTGTCCTCAGTAACGTTACACACACTTGACACTCCCATGCTCAGCTACACTTACTTGCACCCAGCATACTCAGAAGATTCTCCTGCTTCGAATGCCCTGGGTTGAGATCAGATCAGAGGATCTTCCAGGAGCTGTGCAAAACTGCGTTTGATTAGCCCCTTGGCCTTGACGTTCAACACCCTCAGTTTTTGACAACGAACATCTTTAGAATCCCTCCCATGTCTTGCTTAAGCTGATGCAGTTCAGAATGGTGATTGAAGTCACACAAAATTTCTGTTCTGAACTAAGAAAGAAAAATAAAATAATAAAAATTAAAACAAAATATCAGCAACTAACCAAAAGGATCGTTTTTTTTTTATAATGTACCTGGAGACCAATAACAAGCCCAAATTTGACTGTGTCAGGGAGTCAACTAGGTGACTCGATTTTCAAATGAGCATTTTTTGTATGTACAATCAAGCCCATTAACGGGCTTAGGTTTCATTGTATGATCTAGCCAGATGGTAGGTTCGGATCTGAGAGCACCTCCAAATTACTCAACAAACCTAGTTTGGAACCTGAAAGTGTGTCAATCATCGGGCTTGGTTTTCACTCTGTCAGCGAGTCAGTCATCTGACTCTACCCTGGAATGATCATCGGATCTAATAAGCAGGCCTATCAGCGAGCTCGAATCTCATAGCTTCGATGATCCATTCAGTGAGCTCGAATCTCATAGCTTTGACTATCCATTCAGCGAGCTCGTTCCGTGCCTGTGTAACCAGACTTATCAGCGAGCTCAAACCCTAGTGTTTCACTCATCAGGCTTGACGATGAGCCAATCAACAATCTTGTTCCTGGGCTGTGTAACTGGGCTATTCAGTGAGATAGAATCTAGCTGTTTCGTTTTCAAGTCTCCCCGTGAGGAATCTGTTGTCCAACCTTAGACTGAGGATGTCTTTCAGGAAAAATGAACATCAATGCATGACATGCAGAAAAGACCACACAAAGATTTGCCTGTTTTTCAAATGGCTGTTTAGAAATACCTTTGCAGTATTATACTGCCCTTGTTGTCCACGTTCTACCTGGTCAAGCACACACTTTCTCATTCGCTGGTATTCACACTGGATCAACTTCTCTTCCTGTGAATGTGACGCGCGGTGACACTCATTGCTAGAGGATGGTCGCTGCGAGGAGGCACAAGTTTGCTTTGGACTAGCACACTTACTTTGAAAAATTAAAAACCGGCCATTAATTGAAGCAACGGGAGGCTTGGGTTTGTGATAAACTACCACCATCATGATTAGTGCACTCAGCCTCCATTGCTGCATGTGTTCATGCGAGAGTTTAAGAAATTATGAATAATAAGAAATTCTGAGAGTGTGTTCGGGATTTCTGGTTGATTGCTCGCCAGATGTGGAGGAGTAGATGAAACGTTCTCAAGCTTTAAATCTATGTCCTCAATCTTTTGCTAAACCATGGAAAGATACACCACCATACTCATCATTTTGTGTCTGTGAGGATCTAATTTTGGTTACAAGATGAGGAAGCCAAGAAGGAATTTTTAGCTAAACATGGAAAGGTGCATGGTCATTTTCGGCGCTTCCCTTTCACTATTGCCTTGTGAGCCCCGTCCATTTATCTACCAGTTGGGGGAATATGAATGAATCTTTGGGGTAGAACATGGAAATATACATGTCTCGTCCTCTCTTGGGAATTCACCACAAGTTATGCTTGGTCGCACTCCAAGGGAAGATAACTACAGATCTTCAACTGAAACATGGCATGATGCATCATCATATCTTTCTCCTTCCATGGGATGTGTTTGCTGGTTCACACTCGAATGTACCTGGACGCAGTCTGAACCTGGTGCTCATGCACACACAGTCCTCCCGACTCCTTTGCGAGCGCACTCTTCTTATTCTCTCTCCTGCGTCTACTCACACGCTATTACTTACCCTCCTGACTGCGTGCGTCCATGCCTCTATGCCGCTGGCTTAAACCACCACTCCGCCCGCCATCCTAAATTGGGTGGGACCGTTAGGACATGTTCATGAGGCCTACCGGTAGCGCCGTGGGAAGAAGCGGCCGAGTGGCAAAAATGGCAAATGCATCGAATTGCCGAAACTTCTTTTTTATTTTATATATCTCTATACTTACTAAAGCAAACAAAGGGCCCGATGACATGCCCTGTCGTGGGCCCACCGAAAATCGTTGGAACCGGGTGGTACTGGTAGGAGGCGGGGACAGGGCGGGAACCGGGCAATGGGACCAGTGTGGGGGCGAGGCAGAGGCGAAGGGGCGGGGGGGCGAGGCGGAGGCCCACAGAATTCAAAGCGGCGCGGCGCGGCGCGGCGTGGGGCTGGTCACGGTCTCGGGCGGCTGGCTACCAGCCGAAAGATCTCTTTAGAAATGAAAATGAGTGTTTGTTTCCTCTTTTGATTGGTTTCGTGTTTTTTTTTTGATTGAGTGCATGATGATTGAAGGATGTTTGGGGGACACGGGTTTTTTATCCTTATACTGATGTTGCTGAAAGCTCGATGGGGCCCGTCGCCACAAGGCAAAAGCGGTGCCGCACGGACTGCGGAAGTCAGAGTCTCCGGAACTTTTTTTTTAAATACCAGGACAGAGCGGTCAATGAGAAGCCGAGCCACTGGGA